TGATTTTCTAGGGGTTTCTAGGTTGACTGTCATCTCATCTGCAAATAGACATTGTTTTCCTTGTTTTCTAAGTCTTTCACCTCTAATTGGTTTCTTTTGTATATTTTATTAGTTATAGGACAGTGTTCTATAATAATGGAGATAGTGGGGATCCTTGCCTTGTTTCTGATTGTATGAAAATGCTTTTATTGTTTCCTTTTAAGTAAGGTACTGGCTTTAGTACTGAGGTCTTTTTTCTTTCTTTCTTTAAATTTTTAAAATCATTGTTATTTTTAGTCTTTTTTGAGACAGGGTCCCACTCTGTCACCCTGGCCATAGTGCAGTGGCATGATCACAGCTCAGGTGATCCTTTCACCTCAGTCTCTCACCTCAGCCTACTTCAGCCTCTAGTAGCGGGACTACAGGCGTGCAACCACCATACTCAGATACATTTTTTTTTTAAAACAGTGCTAAGGAAATACCAATCAATTCTTGTTTTCTTGATTGTTTTATTTTAATCAGTAATAAGTTAATTTTATCAGACTTTCAGTATGTATAATCATATGAGTTTTCTGCTTATGTCTCTTAATATGGTGCATTATGTTATGAGTTTCCTAATATTGCACTGTCCTTGCATTTCTGCAATAAATTCTATGTGGCCATAATGTGTTATTTTCATTAATGGAGTATTGGAGGTTGTTTGTTAATATTTTATTTAGTATTCTTGTGTTAAAATTCATAAATGATATTCTCTGTAGTTTTTTTGTGTCTGCAATCTTTATCAGATTGAGATAACAATGCGATACTTGATTTCATAAGAACCATCTGGAAGATTTTTCTAATTTTTTAAGTCCTGGAATAATTTATATAGTACTGAGACTATCTGTTTTTTGAGGCTGATAGCTTTCCTGCTTTGAAACTATTTGTGCATGTGCATGGTGCTTTTTTTTTTTTTTTTTTTGTGGTGAAGTGCCATAATAACTTTGCTTGTTTATTTAAGCTTCTATTTCTTCTCAAGCCAATTTTTATAAGTTATATTTTCTTAGGAAATTTTCCATTTCATGTAGGTTAATCAGTGTATTTCTATAGAGATGTACCAATAATCTCTATACTTCTAAAAAAAATTTGTTTCAGTGCTTACTTGTTCTCCTCAATCATTTATTTTGGTTTGTTCTCTTTCTTAAAATTAGGTTATTTAGTGGTTTGCCTATTTAATGAATTTTTCAAAGAACTAACATTTTTAACTTATTAATTAGAGGTCTAGTTTTCTGATTTCTTCCTCATCAATTTTTGCTTTTATCTTTATTTCCTTCCTTATGCATTTTTTTGGTTTACTTTGTTTTTCTAGTAACCCTAGTTGAGAATTTAATACATTAATTTTCATTCTTTTATTTTTAATTGATAAACATGTTTAGGGCTCTGAATTCTACTCTGATCACTACTATAAATGTGTACCATACATTCTGGTATGTAGTGTTTTGTTACTTTAGGAATGAGGTAATTTCAGTTTATATTTTCATGTTTACTTAAGAATTGTCTAATAGAAGATTTAAAAAAAATTTCCAGAGTCTCTTTGTTTTTCTAATTTTATTACATTACATTCAGAGTGTGATTTGTAATATTTCCACTTGTGGAACTTAATGATGTTTTCTTTGTGACCTAATATATGATCAAATTTTTACAAATGTTCCATGTATGTGCCTGAGAAGAAGGTAGATACTCTAACAAGGTATAAAGTTCTAAAGGTATATCCATAGATCTACCTCATTGCTTATGTTGTTTAATACTTTTGTATCCTTACTTATTTTTGCCACTATTTTCTTCTGAGAATGGTGTATTAAAGTCTCCTACTACTAGTATGTTTCTATTTCTCTTTGCATTTTATGTTTAAGTATATTTAATTGTTCGGTGTTAAATACTTCCTTTCTTATAAAAGTGATTATTGTGTTTTTTGGTACATGTGTTTTGGAACATAAGTGTTATATCTTCATTGTGATTTTTAACTTTTAGCATTATAAAGTATGCTTTGTCACATTTAATACGTTTTGACTTCATTTCTACTTCGTCTAATATCAGGAATGAAACTTCTACTTTTTTCTTGTTTCCAATTTCCTGGCTTATCTTGGCTTTTTACATTTAGCTTTCTGTATTTTAGATCTTTAATGTATTTAGCCTTCTGGAATTATTTTGTATTAAGTATGTCTCTTGTATACAATGTAGACTTCAGTCTTGACTTGTTAGACAATTTGAAAATATTCTTCTTTTAATTGAAGTAAGCTTATAACACTTACTGGTATGTTTGATGTTAACTTCATCACATTATTTTATAGTACTGTTTATTGTACTACAATTACATTTTCTATGTGATGTTTCTTCTCTGTTCTTTTAAAAAATTTCTTTTGGTATTTAGGAAGTTTGTAATTTTGTTCTGGTGGTTACCTTTGTATATATACCTTTTATAGAGCCTTTAATCTTGTTTTCTTTTTTTACATACCATTGTCAGGTATGTCAGTTAAAATTTTTTTTTGTTTTAATTTCTACCTATTGCCTGTACAATAAGTGAGTTTTTCTATGTTCCTATTCTTTCCATTATTTTCTCTCTATCCTTCTCCCCATTTTTAGTTGTATATTTTGCTTCGACAGAACATGAAGTATTTACATACTATGCTTCCATGTGTGTCCCATTTTTGTTTTTGTCTTATAGCTACAATTAAGTATATTAAATATCCCACAAGTTTGGTGGCTTAAAACAACAGAAATTGATTTCTTTCCAGTTCTGGGGGCCATAAATCCAAAATCAGTTTCACTAGGCCAACGTCAAGATATCAGTAGGGCCACACTCCCTCCAGAGGAGAAGCTGCTCTGGAAGAGAATTTGCTCCTTGCTTCTTCCAGCTTCTGAAATTGTGACTGCAGCACCCCAATCTCTGCCTCTGTCTTCACATTATCTCCTCTGTGTGGGTGTCAAAGATCTTCCTCTGTCTCTTATAAGAATATACATGAAATAAGAAAAAATTAAAAAAAAAAAGAATATACGTGATTGCATTTAGGGTCTACCCAAGATAATCTCCCCATCTCAAGATTCTAAATTGTAACTGAAGAGGCTTCGCCCACCCCTTTTTTGCCATTTCAAGTTCAAAATCTCATCTAAATATCATTAGCTCAAAAGTCCCAAATCTCATCATCTAAATCAGTTATGGGAGGACTGGATAGAATCCATCCTGGTGCAAAATTCTCCATTTGTGGTCCTATGAAACTAGAAAACAAGTGGTCTGCTTTCAAAATACCATGATGGGACAGACATAGGATGAAAGTTACAGACATTTCCATTTTACGAGGGAAAATCAAGGAAGAAAGATATCAGCAGTTCCAAGCAACTTTGAAATTCAGCAGGGCAAATACTATTAGGACTGATGATCTGTGACTTGAATCTTTACCCTTCTGGATCCATGGCTCTGCCCTGTACCTGTGGCTCTGGCTTTGGCCTCTGTGCCTGTGGATCTGCAGCTATGGCCACATGTTCTTACTTACTTGTGGGAGCTAAAAATTAAAACTATTGAACTTACGAAGATAGAGAGTAGAATGATAGTTACCAGAGGCTGAGAAAGGTAGTCTGTAGACTTTTTGGAGTCTAGCACCCTTCCTTCATTTCATCCTGCCTTTGTGTCTTTCAATTCAAGCTAGCAGTATTTCTGTTGGTATAACATTCTCAAAAGATCTTGTTCTTGTGTATGTCATGGTCTTCTATTCCATAGACAGATCTTTCCTGGATAATCCCATCTTTATTGTTAGCTTCTTCTGAGATCATTGGGAGGACCCATGAATCACATGCTTTAGTCAGAACTAGCAAGAGGTTATTCAGCCACACTCTTGCCCTTCTCTCCAGAGTATGCTTTCCTAACAGCGACTTTACTAATCTCCTGCAATTTGGACAGGCTGAAAACTTCTCAAAACATCAAGTCCTCGTTCCTTTTGCTTAAAGCTTTTCCTCCCATTTATCTCTTTGTTCTTGCTTTTATACTAAGCCTCCAAAAGAAGATAGGTGGTACCTTCAGCATTCTGAGAAATAAACAAGTGAATCAGACAGTTGAAACTTAAAATATCAACCTTATCAGTGATAAAAATGTTTATAGCATAATGCTTAGCTCTGTAACCAATGTGCTTGTAATTACTAACCCCTAAACTGCAGCGCCTCTTCTCACTCTATCTAGCCTCTTCCTGACACACAGGGACAGAGTATGCTGTGGTCAGTTTACTTCATTGATGGGCAGAGACTGGCTGCTCTGTGGACAGGCTCCTTTGTAGGACAGAGAAACCAAAAGGAGCTGAGCCATATATGCTTAATTACTTTAGAGAAAGAGAGAGGAGGATGGAGCCGTACCACAAAACTGCAGAAAGGGCAAACATGCCTATGTTAGGGACTGAGGTAGGTAGGAAACTGGGAGGCAGGTGGAATGATTCTTTCTAACACTGAGGTGATAGGCATTTTTGCTATCTACCTGTCTTATCAGTTAAAGTGAATAGTGTTTTTTCTTTGACTATGAATTACTAAAAGCTCCTTCAAATCAAACATGTAACTATTTGGACAGTTTAAATGATGGCACCTATTTTTATATAAATTAGTATAATATACATATAAGTTAAATAATATAATTTAATTTATATAATAAATTATAATTAAATTAAATAATCATTTATATAATACAATTAAATAATTAAATTTATAAATTAAAATTAATTATATAACATTTATTAATGGATAATACATTAGTTATATAACATAATTATATAACCTATAATTGATTATATAAATTAATTATAAGTTATCAATTAATTAATAATTAAATCTAATGCATATTTTATATACTAAAATTAATTTAAATTATATAAATATAAATTACAATTAAATTAATTTATAATATAGATAATATAAATTAAATGCCTGCTGTCATTTAATTTATATTTAGATTATGTTAATTTATATTACAATTCTAATGTAGCTTATTTTTCTGTAATTTATAGGTTTCTCCAGCAACTGACGGAAGAGAATTCTGAGTTAATTAGTAAGTTGTGGACTGATATTCAGCAGAAAATAGCAACCCAGTCACAAGTAACCCCTCCAGGAACACCATCACCTGCTCTTTCATCAGGGGAACAAAGAGGTTTGTTTCCCTTTTGCATTATTTCCAGTTGCCTGCTTTATTAGGTTCATTCTTGAATGCAGTGATTTGTAAAGGAATGTTAGAGTTTTGACTGCCTTAGCCTAATTGACTAAAATACTGATGGATCTGTCAATTGAAATACTTTCTTAAGAAGTTTGTTCAGTTGAGATACTTCTGGAAATGTTCTTCCTTTTAGCTGCTCTGAATGCTACCAATGCTGTCAAGAGACTCCAAACCAGGCTTCAGCCTGAAGAATCTACTGAGACTCTAGACTCAAGCTATGTTGTGGGACACGTGCTGAACTCAAGGAAGCAAAAACAGCTGTTAAATAAAGGTTCAGTCCCTTAATTTACAAAGATGAATTATTAAACATGTAACTTGATACAGCTGTCTTAATCTCTTAGTCAGTGTTTTTTCCCCTTAATCTCATCCACATGGTTCCAACTAAGAGTTTGTTGAATGGTAGCTAAGAAATGTCTCCTACCACATGTAACTCTGGAACGGTGGTTCTAGTGCATTCATTATAGCTAGTGTAAATCTGGTTTAAACTGTTTAATTTTTATGAGAGAAATAGTGATATCATCTATGAAAGCCTTTTATAAATTGTGAACAATAGTCAAAAGTTTTTCTAGTAGTTTTCTGGTCATAATTTTTCCTGGTCTTAAAATAGAATGACTTCTCTCATTATCAGTGAAAAGAAAACCGAATTTGCATGCTCTTTCCAAGCCGAAGAAAAACATGTTATCAGGTAGCACAACTTCTGCAGACTTACCAAATAGGACTAATTCCAACCTGGATGTCCTCAAACACATGATACATGAAGTGGAACACGAAATGGAAGAATATGAGCGGTGTACAGGTCGCGAGGTCAAGGGACTGCAGAGCAGTCAGGGTCTTACAGGCTTCACTTTGTCATTGGTGAGCTCCCTCTGTCGCCTGGTTCGGTACCTTAAAGAGGTAAGAACATTAGGTTATTAGAGTCTTCTCTTCAGACAGAAATGCATGAGTTTTTTTTCCTCTCCATTTATTGCAACCTCCAAATAAAGTACAGTCAAATTTGAATAGCTTTGTTTAAAATACCTCAATTTTAGATTATCTGCAGTAAAGGCTTATCCCTTAAATCTTTTCTGTCATTAGTTGATACATGCTCAGATAAGTGATTTTAATTTTAATAAGAGCTTTAGCAAATTATAATTAGTAGGGTAAATCTGCCATTAATATAATTATATCTTGTGCTAATATTAAATATTACTGTTTGACAGTTGTAGATTAAATAGAACTGTTAACTGTGTCTGCATTCTATTGCTATTCTCTGCTTCCTACTCCCACGTTCAGTTTGGAGAGTGGCATTGCCTATAAGTGGTAGACTTGATATGTGGGAGAATTCTTCATGTTCCCTTTATGTCTGGAAACTCATGTACGGCTTCAGTGTCTAAGTGGGAGATGTTTTATTGTTGTAAAAATAATTTATAAAATAAGCAAGAATTATTTGTTTGGCTGGGCACGGTGGCTCATGCCTATAATCCCAGCCCTTTGGGAGGCCGAGGTGGGTGGGTTGCCTGTGGTCAGGAGTTTAAGACCAGCCTGGCCTCAACATGGTGAAACCCTGTCTGTACTAAAAATACAAAAATTAGTCGGGCATGGTGGCGGGTGCCTGTAATCCCAGCTTCTGGGGAGGCTGAGGCAGGAGAATTACTTTCACCTGGGGGGCAGAGGTTTCTGTGAGCCGAGATCACGCCACTGTACTCCAGCCTGGGCAGCAGAGCGAGACTCTGTCTCAAAAAAAAAAAAAAAAAACGAAGAATTGTTTGTTTAATTTGATTTCAAGTAATCATCCACAGAATGTCACAGAATTAGAGTTAGCTATGTGTTTCATCTTTGAAAATCTATTTAAACTGTTATGTACTTAAGCCTGTTATACAAATATGACAAAAATGTTTAAGAAAACTTTATTATTTAATAAGATAGATTTGCCAACTTAATACAGATGTTTCAGTTTCTCTATAGCTGTCTTCCTAAAATTGAATTGCTGGTTTTTTTTTTTTTTTTTTTTTTTTTTTTTGAGACAGAGTCTCACTCTGTTGCCCAGGCTGGAGTGCAGTAGTGGCATGATCTCGGCTCACTGCAACCTCCACCTCCCGGGTTTAAGTGGTTTTCCAGCCTCAGTCTCCCAAGTAGCTGGGACCACAGGTGCATGCCACCACACCTAGCCAATTTTTGTATTTTTTTGTAGAGACAGAGTGTCACTATGTTGCCCAGACTGGTCTCAAACTCCTGAGCTGAAAGCAATCTGCCTATCTTGGCCTCCCAAGGTGTTGGTATTACAGGCGTGAGCCTCCACACCTGACCCTAAAATTAACTTTTTAATTAAAGATTCGTTGTATTGTCAGACCTATTAAAACCTTAACATTCTTTCACCCTTAACTCAGGAATCTTCAGCAGTATACTTTTGGCTCTTGGAAAGTATTGCAGGCTTAGAAGCATGTACTTTTTTTTTTGTTTTTTTGAGGTAGAGTGTTGCTCTGTTGCCAGGCTGGAGTGCAGTGGCACGATCTTGGCTTGCTGCAACCTCTGCCTCCCAGGTTCAAGAGATTCTCCTGCCTCAGCCTCCTGAGTATCTGGGACTACAGGCGTACGCTACTATGCCCGGTTAATTTTTGTATTTTTAGTAGAGACGGGGTTTCACCATGTTGGCCAGGATGGTCTCGATCTCTTGACCTCGTGATCTGCCCGCCTTGGCCTACCAAGGTGCTGGGATTACAGGTGCGAGCCACCGCGACTGGCCAGAAGCATGTACTTTTAAGTTAATCACTTGCTTTACAAAGTTAAACCATTTAAAGTTGTCATTTATTTTAAATTATATTTTAACAAGTTTAATTTTTGAATTGGCGATATGGTCACGTTATGAAATTCAGAGATACAGCAGATTGTACTAACTCTCATCACTAACTTCCAGCTAGCATGTTTGCTTACTTCTAGCCAACTATTATTACCAGATACCAGTGTATCTTTCTAGAGATGGTCAGTGTATATTCAAACAATATGTATATGTATATCCCTCTACTTTCTTTCTACAAAAAATATAGTGACTTAATTTTATATAACATTTTGTTCATTTTATTCTATTTAAGGAAGGGAAGAGGATAAAGCAGCACATTTTCTTTAATTAAATATAATAAACCGTTTAATAAAAATCTTTGTCATTACTGTCACATAATATATGCTTCTTTGTAAATATCTTCTTTGCCAGCTTTGAGTGCAAACTTTTAGTTTTCAACATGTGAGGCTATTGGTGGAAGTTTATTTGATATCTTTTTGCAGAGTGAGATCCAGCTACGTAAAGAAGTAGAGACAAGGCAACAACTGGAACAAGTATTAGGTGATCATCGAGAGCTCATTGATGCTCTGACAGCTGAAATTCTTCGTCTTAGAGAAGAAAATGCTACTACACAGGTACTCAGATGAGATCCCAACTTTGTGTGTTCAGTGGTATAAAACATCTTTAAACATGTACTGGATTCTCTTAGAGTTGCTTTTGGTTTAACTGTGTTGATGTGATTACTTATCAGTCATTATTTTCATCAGTGGTAGGTATTATTGAACATTTATTACATGGAGGTACTATAGTAGAAGCTTGAAAGTAGCATATGGACTGTCTCCCTGTCTTTAAGAGACTTACTATTTAGTGGGAAGACAGAGTCTGCATTTAAATTATAACTACCAGTGTTACAGTAGTTAATCCAAAATGTGAAATGAGTGTTATGATAGCCACTTTTAATTTCAAAGCAGCAGAAGATGGCCTTTGAGGAGTCCTTTTGCAATCACATCAGATGCCATTTACAGTTATTCACAGTATCTTCATATTTGTTACATAAAGTCCTCTTTGCTGCTTGACTAATGGCTCCTTTTCTTTTTAAAAAGACTTACACAGTTCTCTTGTGGAAAACCTATTGCTTCCATGCTGCATTGAGCATCCTTCCTTTGTGCACTTTTTTTTTTTTTTTTTTTTTGAGATGGTGTCTCACTCTGTCACCCAGACTGGAGTGCAGTGGCATGAGTTCATTGCAGCCTGGACCTCCTGGGCTCAAGTGATGCTTCCACCTTAGCCTCCCAAGTCACTGGGACTACAGGTACATACCACCATACCTAGCTAACTTTTTATGTTTTGTAGAGATGGGGTTTCACCATATTTCCCAGGCTGGTCTTGAACTCTGGGGCTCAAGCGATTCGCCCACCTTGGCCCTTGAAAGTGCTGGGATTACAGGCATGAGCCACTGCACCTTGCTTCTTTGTGTACTTCTGTTACTGTCTGGATATTGGTATTATTGTGTTCATCAAATTGTTTTATACTTACATGTGTACTTGTCACTGAGACTGTGTGCTTCTTGAGTGTACACAGTCTTATTTTATTCGTCCTTTTTGTTCTCATATGGTAGTTATTATTACTTTTATTTATCAGCCAGAAGAGACTAGACAAGTGATGGAGAAATTGTGTTTGTGTTAATGGACATTAGATGATGAGATGTATACTTTTTTAAATTGATAATATAGGGTTAGGCACAGTGGCTCACACCTTTGATCCCAACATTTTTCAAGGTGGGCAGATCACTTCAGGCCAGGAGTTTGAGATCAGCCTGGGTAACAGAGTGAGACCTGTCTTTACAAAAAATAAAAATATTTGCTGGGCATGGTGGCGTATGCCTGTAGTTCTAACTGCTTGGGAGGCTGAGGCAGGAGGATCACTTGAGCCTAAGAATTTGAGGCTGCAGTGAGCTACGATATTGCCATTACACTCCACCCTAGGTGACAGAGTGAGACCCTGTCTCTAAAAAAACAAAACAACAACAAAAAACCCAAACCACATACAAATTTGATAATATAGTTCACATACCATTAAGTCCACCCTTTTAAAATGTACTATTCAGTGTTTTTAGTATATTTGAAGTTGTATGCCAGCACCATTGTCTAAATCCAGAATATTTTCCTCACTCCAGAGAGAAATCCTGTACCCTTTAGAAGTCACTCTTCAGTCTCTCTTTTTGTGAATTTGCCTAATATAGATATTACATAGAAATTGAATAATGTAATATGTGCTCTTCTTTCACTTAGCATAATGTTTAAGGTTAATTTATGTTTAGCATGTATCAGTACTTCATTCCTTTGTATTGCCCAATAATATTCCATTGTATGGATATACCATATTTTATTTATCTCTTCATTAGTTAATGAACATTTGGGTTATTTTTACATTTTGTCTGCTATGAATAATGCTGCTATGAACATTCATATACATATTTTTGCAGAACATATGTTTTTAATTATCCTGGGAAGATGTGCAGTTTTAAAATGTACTGATTTACTTAACAAATCTTTGTTGAATACTCGCTGTGGGCCTGGTACTGTTCTAGGTACAGGAAATAGAATAGTGAACAAAATATAGAAAACTTTACCCTCATGGAGCTTACATTCTAAATAAATCCTAAAAACAGAAAGTTGAAGTATAGTAAGTTAGATGGTGATATGTACTTCGAAGAAAAATAAAGCACGTAAAGGCATAGGAAATGCACAGGATGGGGTAGGATGCAGTTACAAATGAGATGGGCCATTCCTGTCTGAGGAAGTGACATTTGAGCCAAGACCTGAAAGAGGTGAGGAGTGAGCATGTGGGTAGTTGAGAGAAGAGCAGTCTGGGCAAAGAAAAAGCAAGTGCGAAGGTCTTACGGTGGGAGTGTGACTGGTGAACTTAGAGTCATCAAGGAGATCAGTGTGGCAAGAGTAGAGTATGGGGAAGAGAGAGGTAGGAGATAAGATCAGGTAAGCCCAATCACATAGGGCCTTGCATGCTGATTAAAGACATGGGCTTTTATGCTAAGTGAGATGGGAAACCACTAAAGAGAAGAGATGTGATTTGTCTTGGGTTTAAGAAGATCACTCTGGGCTATGTTGAAACTAGATCAGAGATTAGTGCCCTTTCTTGGTTGCAGTGCCCTTAGTGTCTTATAACACCCCTAGGCCAAAAACAGTTCTACTTGTTAAGTCCAAACAACTATATCCTAACAACTGAGGGACTGTTTGAGGAAAAGTATTACTTTTTCTTAAGTAACTACAATGATTTACTAATGGGTTATATATACCTTTTGAGCACTGTACCACTTCTCAATGCTTGGAATCAGTTGGGACACAACCATTCTTATTTCCTGTTCCACACTGATTTTCCTCCAGAACTTGTGTTTTTTTTTTTTTTTTCTTTTTAACCTAGCAACTGCTGAAAGCCCAGCCATGAGAAGATTTGACATCATCAAAAGGAATGTAATGCAATCTGACATTGAAACTGTGAACTGTCCTGAGCTAATAGTTCACCAGTGTCTGATAGATGGCAAGCATCACTATTTCCCTTGAAGATTTAAATTTTCCCTTGGTGCCCCTGTAAGTTCACTTTAGTGCCCTGAGGTGCCTCAGCATACAGTTTGGGAACAGTATGGGACTAGAGTAGGTGGTCAAACACAAAAGCAGAATATTACATGAGGAGTTATTGGAATAGTTCAGGTGAGACATGGCAAGTTGTTCTAGGGTGGAAGTGGGAGAGGGTGTGAAAAGTGATGAAGTTATGAATATATTTTGAAGGCTGACCAATGCAGTCTGCTAATTTATTGGATATGGAGTCAAGTAGAGGATATTGGAAAAGAATCAAGGATAATTCCAAAGTTTTGGGCTGAATAATTAAAATGATGCAGTTGCCATTTATAAGGTAAAGAAGGCTTTAGGAGGAATTTGGCTTTATATGTTTTAAGTTTGAGAAGTCTGTTTGAATTCTAGATGGAAGTGTTGAGTAGGCCACTGGATATGTGAGTATGAAATTTGGGAAAAAATTTGGACTGGTGGTATAAAAATGTTTACTATACTTCATTGAGCAGTACTGTTAATAATATTTCTGATGTCTGGCTGCACCTGACTTTTATCAAATGTCTGTATCTCTCTAAGCATACATGAGATATATATTAGATAGAAGTTTGTTACCAGCTGCCGTCCTTGGGTTTTCTTTGTCATTATTACAGGGTGTCAGCAATTTACAGAACTCTCTTTTTCTTCCTTCTACCTGCAATCTTCTCTACTTCCAAGAACCATTTGCGTAACACTAATACATAACAAAGATGAGCATTATGTGGTAGTGATCAAACCTGATGTTTTTAGATGACCTACTTATATCATCCCTGTAGAAAATATAAAGAACAAAACAAATTCATCTAACCTTCTGGGCAATCTGTTTGACTTTTACATGTAAGAATGGAATTCCAAACGCTTAACACATTCAGCTCTGTGCCAGAAAGTAAATCTATGGGTATGGTATTTTGTGGGTGACCTTTTAAATAAAAAAAAAACCTTTATGTAATATTAAAAATATGTATATATACACACACACATATAGACAAATATGAGAATATCTATATACATATATAAAATGTTCTGTCTCATTCTCATATATAAAAATCAAGTTTTAATTAATATTTGTATTAATTACATACAGAATTTTGTGCTGTTCATGTTTATCAGTTTAAATGCCTGGGTAATATTCATTGTTTCCTCCACCTCATGTATCTGTGTCTCTTGGGGGTAGCTTAAGAGTCAGTTGAAACATCCTGAAGAGGTTTTGTAAATGGAAAGCCCTGTGGAAAGGTTCATTCTTATTGTTATAGCAGGGTATTTATTAATTACCATTTCATGATTTCTTAACCATTCCCCTATCATGGAACTATTAGAATATTTATAATTATAAATAGCATTTCTTTCATTTGAATGAAAGTCTCAAATTCCTGAAGTATTTAAAATGATGATATTACACATACGTAAATACACACATATCCTTTGTGTGGTTTGCTTTCTAGGTGGTCGTTTGATGTTTGATATGCTAATAATATTATTTCATATGTTTTCCTCTCCAGGCAAGACTTCAGCAGTACATGGTCACAACAGACGAGCAACTTATATCACTCACATATGCTATTAAGAACTGTCCTGTGATAAATAACAGACAAGAAATTCAGGCATCAGAAAGGGGAGCCACAGGTAGAAGAAATATGGACAGTTCAGGTGAGTGTGTTCTTATTATCTCAGACTGTCATTCAGTTACTTAATGGCCTTAGATAACAAACCAAACCTTAAATCTCTAAACTTATATAGACTTATTGACTGTTTATGCATGTACAGTATTGTTACTACTACAATTGCCACTACTTTTCCAGCTAATATTGGATGCTTGCTGTATGCCAGATACTTGTTAAGTCTTACATGCATAATTTCAATTCATGTCATAATAGTCTGATGAGGTAGGTGTTATTGTTATCCCCATTAGTGTTATCCTTAGAGGAAACTGAGACTCAGAGAGGGTTGGTAACTTAGCAAAGGCACACAGGTAGAAAGTAGCAGAACCAGACACCTAGATCAATGAGAGTGCTAGCACTTTTAATCACAGTGCTCTAGATTCAGTAGAGATGATTTTGGAAAGAGAAAAATACTGAATTTTAGAAATACATAACTCTTGTTCATGTGTGGTAGTGTTGTTTTGAAATTCTTTCTTCATCTCATGTGCTATCATGTGCTATAGGCTGAATTGGACATTTCTGTTTTTTCATGTGTTTTACTTTTAAGTAAGACTTTGATGAGTATCTGTAAGAAAAGTGTTTTATGTATTTAAAACCGTTTTCTTAGGATGGATTCTAAGAAGTGACTGACCAAAATTTAACTTGCATGAGGTAAACTCAATGGCTAGGGCAGATCTCTGTCTTCTGGTAGAGTCTTGCTATTTTTTTTTTTTTTTTTTTTTTAGATGGAGTTTCACTCTGTCACCCGGGCTGGAGTGTAGAGGCGCCATCTCAGCTCACTGCAACCTCCGCCTTCCAGTTTCAAGCGATTCTCCTGCCTCAGCCTCCTGAGTAGCTGGGATTATAGGTGCGTGCCACCATGCCCAGCTAATTTTTGTGTTTTTAGTAGAGACAGGGTTTCACCATGTTGGCCAGGCTGATCTCGAACTCCTGACTTCATGATCCGCCTGCCTCGGTCTCCCAAAGTGTTGGGATTACAAGCGTGAGCCACCACACCTGGCAAGTCTTGCTATTAATATCTCAGTAAAGGAATATGTTAGTGCTTTACTGTTATCTGAGTTAAGCTTCACTACTGAGAAAACTTTTGATTATCCTATAGGTGAGAAGGGCTGGGAGGAAGTATATTGTAGAATTATTGTTAATCCTTGTTATTGCCTGTGGAAAAAGTCAGAAAGATTTATGTTGGTGAGACCAAAGATTTATGTAATATCTTCCTGAGTCTCAGCTCTTGTAACTCTTTTAAAATAATATGGAATGTGACTATGTTGTGATAATGCATGACCTGTGAAGTTCCTTGTTTTGTAATGAGCCTTGTATATGGAGGTCAGTGCATTAATGTGCCCCATTTTAGCCATTTTATTACTTGTTATGACCATTAAAAAGCTATCCATAACAAATAATGAAAAATTCTACCAGCCTAGGCAACATGGTGAACCCCGTCTCTACAATGAATACAAAAAATTAGCTGGGTGTGGTGGTGCATGCCTATAGTCCCAGCTACTTGGGAGGCTGAGGCGGGAAGATCACTGGAGCCTGGGAGGTCGAGGCTGCAGTGAGCCAAGATTGCTCCATTGCACTTCAGCCTGGGTGACAGAGTGAGATCCAGTCTGAAAAAACAGAAAAAAAGAAAAAGATAAACTCTAGAGTGCCACATAGGATTTTTTAGGAGTCCCTAAGTGGCTCGCTTTTCATGGCTTTGAGGCCCCAATGACTTTCTCAAAAATAGTAACTTCTTCTCAGTACTAGCTCACCAGGAGCCTGCCCATGAATGATTGGCAGAGGAGGATACAGCCTAGAAAGTGAAGGCTCCAGGAACCATGTTGATTCATGTGAATTTTGCACTCTATTGAGATGCATTTAAGAATAAATACCTGGGCCGGGCACAGTGGCTCACACCTGTAATCCCAACACTTTGGGAGGCCGAGGCGGGCGGGTCATGAGCTCAGGAGATCGAGACCATCGTGGCTAACACGGTGAAACCCCGTCTCTACTAAACAAAATACAAAAAATTAGCCGGGTGTGGTGGCAGGCACCTGTAGTCCCAGCTACTCGGGAGGCTGAGGCAGGAGAATGGCGTGAACCCGGGAGGCGGAGCTTGCCGTGAGCCAGGATCGCACCATTGCACTCCACAGCCTGGGCAGCAGAGCAAGACTCCGTCTCAAAAAACAAAAAACAAACAAACAAACAAAAAAACAAAAGGAAAAAGAATAAATACCTGAAATGTGCCCATAGTTTCTTTTTGTTCCTATTGTGCTAATATCCTTTCATCTTCTTCAGAGGGTCCAGCTGTAAATGCCAATGTCTCAGTGCCATTGATGTTCAGAGAGGAAGAGGTGGTTGAATTCCCACAGGAAGAGTTGCCTGTTAAACTGTCTCAGGTGCCAGACCCTCCAGATAACATGACTCTGGCCAAGAATTTTCCAGCACATATTTTTGAGCCAGCTGTGTTGTTAACACCACCCAGGCAGAAGAGCAACTTAAAATTCTCTCCTCTTCAGGACGGTAAGTTTTCTTCTGAAGTTACATGAAAGTTGTTTTTTATGTTCCATTTGTACAATGTATTACGTTCACCATTACATGAAAAACAGAATTGAAAAAGACATTTGATTACCACACATAGCCTTTAAGCTGAAGGAAGACTTTTCATGCTATGTGTAGGATACCTGTGGTCATGTGTGACATTTAATTAATTTTATTGCATGTCTATTTTATTAAACATTGTAAGTATTAAACTGAGATCAAAAGATCAGAGTCCTTAGCATTAAGATGCAGAATAAGGGGAATCCCTTTTGTCCCAATGATCCATGAGCATATGAAAGAGTTAGAAGCAGGAGATTATACTCCAAAGAGTAATGAAAGTTAGACTAAGGAAAGGTGAGAACTATGACTTTAAGGGTCGTGTAAGTGACATGTGGTCATCATATTCACCTCTTTCTCATCAAAAGTTTTCAGCTCAGTTGAGGGAATTTTATAATAAAAGTTAATGGACAATTAAAAATAGCTTTAGAGTTACTTTTGCATCTCACAGGTAGAGTAAACAGGTTAAGAATGTATTATTAATTCTTAGCTCAAAGATTCTTAACTTAGGGTTCATGAATGGTCTTCAGAAGTCCCATGAACTACTTCATTGTTGGGAAAATTAGATTTATTTGTCCCCATGTACATTTTTTCTGGAGCTATTGTTTTTACTTCATTTTCAAAGAGTTCTTTGGTCAAAAAAAGAACCAGTATCTTAAACTCTCTTCTGAAGTTTTTTGAAAAATATTATTCAGGTCTGATTAGCCTGAATTTTTATTTCTTTTAAAAATTTTTTTATATTTTTACATAGGGGAACAGAAAAATAACTGTTAATTGTTATTGGGACATACGAATTTTGTGCAATTTTCTGCATTTTGATGTATGTTTCCAATAAAGGACATGAAGAAGCCCAAGGGGTTAAATAAAATGACAAATCCTTGCTATTAAAAATTCTGTTTTGTTATTTGTAATGCAGATGTAGCATTTGTCAGATCAGTGTGGTGCAGTGGTGACAGTGCCAGGCTGAGAGTCAGAAGTGCTGGCATTTTGGCCCATTTATTCTTGACTAGCTGTGAGGCATGAGGCTCAGATGGTTTACCTTTTCTAGACCTAAGTTTTTCCATCTATGAAATGAGAAGATATTTCTTTATCTTTAATGCTCCCTACAGCTCTATCAGTGTATGATTCAGTATTTCCTCTTCAGAGGGCTAGAAGGTATTATTATCTCTGGCAAGATTCAGGAAATATGATTTCAGTTCTGATTTCTGTTCTGCCTAGACTTTTATTCTTTAAATTAGTTAGTTGTTCAAATGTTTGCATGTTGTTAATAGGCTTGTCTAATGATCTTTGCTTAGATGTTGTAAATATTTTTCATTGGTGATCATAAAATAGCTTAAAATTATTTGTAAGAAACAGTTACAATAAATATTTTTACTCTGATCACAAACTTACTAAATGCTTGTTAAAGCAAGTTTGTCAAGGATTGCTATAGACAACATTTTGTTAGTATCTTCAGCAAGTCTGCATTTGAAATAACTGCCCACTTATTTTATAATGTGCAAACAGAGATGCTTGTGAATAGGTATTTGAATTGGTGATGTTTTATTATATTTTTCAAGCATTGTTTGGAATACTCACATATAAAGAATTATTCAGTTAAACAGAATATGCAGATGAAAATGGGTGATACATAGGGCCCTTCATCAGCATTCAGTTCTCTTTTAGGATAGCCTTGTCTAATAGAATTTTCTGGGTTGATGAAAATGTTCTGTATCTGCTCCATCCAGAATGGTGGCCACTGGCCGCATGGGGCTAGTGAGCACCTGATGTGGCTTGTGTGACTGAGAAATTAAAATTTTAAATTTTATTAACTTAACTTTGAATAGCCACATATGACTAGAAGCTGCCATATTGGACAATATTGCTGTAGCATTTCCCGTCATAAATATTTTCCTCTAGCTATTGATTTATTTCTCCCTTTCTTTACAGTCATGCTTCTTGAACTAGTAGTGTGTGTGTGTGTGTGTGTGTGTGTGTGTATTTGTATTTGTGTGCAGTTTCATTTCATTTTCTGATCTCCCATTCCTTATTTTAAAGTGTTTATTCTAATTCATATTTCTATGTGGTTTTAAAAAAAGTACTGTCAATTTAACCCAGAGAGAGACTCTCTAAAAGAAACTGATATTTATTTGGGATTGAGCATTGCAATGGGAATGGTGGGCATATTCAGGGAAGTAAAGGAAGACAAGAGTTTTTAAAGGGGAAATGAGGAGGATTATCTAAGTTGTTTTGAGACAACTATCCTTGGCTACAAGGATCAGTAACAAGGGTGGCATCAATCTAAGGTTGGTTGTTGGGCAGATGTCCTCGCAGAATTATTTTTTGTGTAAGATTGTGGAGGCCTTTGTGCAAGGTTCTGGTTTTTGAAATCTCTTGAATAGTTGTTATCAGTCATACATGCATGAGAACCCTTCCTTCCTGGCTCTTTGAGGCTCCACTTATCAGTCACTTGTGTCTGATAAAGTGACTCTGATAAAGTCACTTGTGCTCTGACACAAATTGCTCAATTTTTTTTTCTTTTGAGATAGAGTTTCACTCTTGTCGCCCAGGCTGGAGTGCAGTGGTGCAATCTCAGCTTACTGCAACCTCTGCCTCCTGGGTTCAAGCTATTCTCCTGCCTCAGCCTCCTGAGTAGCTGGGATTACAGTTGTGCACCATCATGGCTGGCTAATTTTTTTTTGGTATTATTAGTATAGACTGATTTTCACTATGTTGGCCAGGCTGATCTCGAACTCCTGACCTCAGGTGATCCGCCCACCTCAGCCTTGCAAAGTGCTGGTATTATAGGAGTAAGCCACCACGCCCAGCCAAATGACTCCATTTTCATTCTGACAACTTTCACAGTACATTCCCCTAAAGGTAGTCATTTTTATTCCAATTTGATTTTTGTTTATTTGGTAATTGTCTCCGTAATTAATATAAAATATTTTTGCATCTCTTTTCTTGAGATACCAACTTTACATAATAATTATAGACTCTCCCTATGAAAGAAGAGAGTGTAATTCACCCTAACACCTACCTCCCTTCTCTACTCTGGATAGTTTTGTTTTTATTTTTAATCTTTTTTGTTACTTTAAATACTTTCTATTTCTTTTTTAACTTTAGATAGTATTTCTTGACTTCCACTACATGAAATACTAGCATCCCTTCCCTTCTGCTTTACTTCTGTTTTCTACCTCCCACCTTCAGTTAATTATCCTTTCCCTTTCACATTATTAAGTTTGATTACATTAACCTTCTCTTCCATTGCAACAACTGTGTTTTCTGTGTCTTGTCTATATACATATTGACAAGTGAAAACAAATAAATAACCATTACATTTTCTTTTCGAATCCATTGTTACTGCCAGTGCTTGGGCCAAACAAAGGAAAAAGTTCTTATGAAAATCAAGGTGAATTCTTATTTCATGTTATGAGAGCTCAGACTCTTTTTGCTATATATTTATACTGTGACTTGTACAGTTTTTGCTTTGTGTAGACTTTCAAATTGCCTTTACTCTTTTGTTGACAAAAGAATAATGTGCTTTCACCATATCTTCAAGTCCTTTTGTCATACTGTCTGTGGCATGGAATCTGCTTTCATCCCAGAGACACCTTCTCAAAGCCCTTTAAACTTGCTGCAGCCTTCGCTGATTGCTTATTGCTTGCTGGGCCTTCTGCATAGTTCTCATCCTGGGTCTTGGTATCATTGCACACGTGGATTGGGTCACTTGTTTCCTCTTATTATTTGGTTTTCTTTCACAATTTTCTGAAAGAAATAATCAGAAAAAGCATATGCAAGGTAAACTCTTGAGTTCTTGAAATTCTGAAGATGTTTTCATTTTTCTCTTACACTTGATTGATAATGTGGCTAAAGAATTCTAGGTCAAGAGTTCTTTTTCCCGAGAAATTAAAGGCATTATTCCATTGGTTTCTAGTATTCAGTGTTCAGTTGAGATGTCTGATAATGAGATATCTTTTATTTCTTTATATTGGACCTACTTTTTTTTTTTTTCTGTGAAAGCTTTTAGGATCGATCTCTTGTTTTTATCCTGAATTTGCACAAGGTATGCCTAAATATGGGTTTTTACCTTCTTGCACTGTGAGACTCTAGTTGGACCTTTCAGTCTGAAGACATATGACTTTCTTCAGTTTGGGGGAAAATTTATGTTGATCGTTGGGATTTTCTTATGTATTTGGCCTTATATCTTACTTTTTAGATTCTGGAATATTTTTTCACTTTATATTCAAGCCTGTCTTTTGGATTTTTAAAATTTTGTCAATTGTATTTTTAATTTCCAAGCAAGAACCCTTACTTGTCTGATTGTCCTTTTTTCACTGATACTTATTATGAATGCAGTATCTTCCAGAAACTTTTCTGAGGATACTAGTTAGAATTCTACTATGAATTTTCTTTCATTTTCTTCTGTACCTGAATTTGCTTTTCTTCTTGATCTGTTCAGTTTCCCTGTCTTGGCTTTTTTCTTTTGTGCTGCTGGTTTTTTTCTATTGTTCATTTATATTTAAGAATGAATAAGTTCAGTATTGTAGGTGGTTGTCATACATTTTCTTTTCTGTGATGTCGATAAGTCTAGGTCTATTTTCCCAGTAGACTTTCCCTTATGTGGTTGCTTTGTGTATATGGGTACGATTTACTAACTATGGGTTTCCTTTTAGAATATGTAACTAGGATCCAGCCATTCACTTGGGGTGCTCACATTTACTGTTTCCATCCTTGATTTTTTGCTTAGGAGGACAGTTCAGGGAAGTGGTGTGCAGCAGCTTGACTGGAAAAAGCATGCAGTAGACAAATTTTCAAGTAATTCCCCAGATTTCAGTTCTACTTCTCACTTTCTTCCTCTGTACCTGTCAGCTTTGTGACTGCAGCCTTTTCAGGGTGCCCCCCACCCCCAGATACTGGCTTTCACCTGTCATTTCCTTCTAATGTATATGTATTCTGGAGTATGGTTTCTGCTCAGTTGTACTCTTTCACATGCTTTCCATCTACTCCCAGTCTTCCAGAGATTTGCTGAAATATCTTGTTTGCTAATGATTCTCTTCCCAGACTATTCTCTTTACTGATTGTGGGTTTATTTCCTTTTATATGTCCTTGCTGTCAATGAAAAGAGGTGGGATAAATGTGTGCTCAGTCTGTAGTCTTGAACTAGAAGCATCCCTCCTTTCAATTAGGGCATTCCATCTAAACTACTCTTGCTAAGGGCTCCAGTGGCCTCCCTGTTACTAAGTCCAGGGTACATTTTTCTGTCCTTATGTTTCCAGGTCTGACAGTGGTATTATGTACAATTAACCACTTTGTTTCCTTGATGCCATGTTGGTGTAATATTTTCCTTATCTTTCCGACTGCTCCATTTTAGTCTGCTTTGGTGGCTTTTCCCTCCTTTACCTGACCCTACATGTTGAGTTCCTCATATCTTGATACTGGTTTTTTTCTCCCTCTACTCTTCTCTCTGGATAATCTCACTCATTCTCATGGCTTCTCATACCTTCTAAATGTCAGTGACTTTCAGTTTGATATCTTAGCCCAGATGTCTCTCTTGATTTTTAAACCCATGTATCCATCTGCTTGGATGGATACACAGATGAATCCTAGGGCACCTTAGGTTCTTGATAAGCCCTCCTTCCCCTAAGTCTGTCCTCTTGCCTTCAGCATCTCAGTAAATGTGATCACCATCCACTCAAGATATGTGTCTTCTTGATCTATGTGTTTTTCTCACTCCCAATTTCTAGTTCATTGCTGTCAGTTCTTTGCCAAAATATTTCTCAAATTTATTTAGTTCTCATCATCTCTAATGCCAATACACCTTAGTCAAAGCTACTATCATCTTTCTTCTAGACTATTACAATTGCTTCCTGGATTTTCTGCTTCCATTTCTGCTATCCTCCAATTATCCACAGCATTTAAGAAATTTAAATCAAATCATTGCCAGACGTTCTCTAGGTTTTCATTGCTCTTAGATTAAATTACAAAATGTTTAACATGGTCTGAAAGGCTTGCCAGAAATGGCCACTGCACACCACTCTAATCTCCTGCTTTTCCAGTTCTCTCCTTGTTGCTATCCTACAGGCAGGCTGGCCTCATTTCTTTGCTCTTTCCTGTTTTTTGAGCCTTCACATATGTTGCTGTTTCTGCCTGTAATGTCCTTTGCTGTAGTTCCTATTACATATGTAATCAATGTAATCATTTAAAAATTTTACTTCCTCAGAGAGGCCTATCCTGGCTATCTGCAGTTTAAATTGGGTACTTATACCTGCTTCCTCATTCCCCAAGATTTCCAGATGTGAATTAATATATGTGTTACAATGTGAACTTGACAGATGGTTTTTCACAAGGGTACTGACAGATGCTTTAAGGAACATGGTAAGTCTCTGTACTTGATTACGAGGGGTGACATTGCTGGTGTGTTCTCTGCTGAAAATAGTTTAGGCGTTCAGAAGCCAAACACTTCTACTGAAATACTTTTCTAGCTACCATGGTGGGCTAATGAGATGAGTATAGTGTCAATCTATGGGAAAATAATACATGTTTGTTATTTTTAAATTCTTATCTATAGTATTGAGAAGGACTGTTCAAACTCGTCCTGCTCCACGACTTCCTCCAACGGTGGAAATAATTGAGAAGGAACAAAATTGGGAAGAGAAGACCTTACCTGTTGATACAGATATTCAGAATTCAAGTGAAGAGAATCGTCTCTTCACTCAGAGGTGGAGAGTCTCTCATATGGGAGAAGATTTGGAGAACAAAACTCAGGCTCCTTTTGTTAACCTCTCACAGCCCCTCTGCAATTCCCATTCCAACACTCAACAGTCAAGAAACCCCACATTCTCAGAAGAGCTCCCAGTACTGGGAGATGGACAGCAGCTCAGAACAAATGAGGCATTAATACAAAGAAAGGACATAATGGCACGAATTGCTGATTTGACATTGCAGAATTCAGCTATGAAGGCACATACAAATAGTATTATTGAGCCCAGAGGAGAGCAAGGGGATGGATTCCGGGAGTTGAACAAACAAGAAAGTGCAAGTGACATGACTTCTGTGAGTACCATTTAAGGATTGATTAGGGACATACAGGAATTTAAATAGGAACTTTAGCTTGGGCTTCTTAAGAAACTTCTTTTCAGAAGTGATCCTAGAAAGCTTTGAGGCTAGATGGCTTATGCTTTGGCATGTCTTCAATACAATAGGTCCAGGTTATTTATCAGTCTGTTGTACATACAAGACAAGACAGCATAAAAGGAAAATTATATAAATGAAAATAGGGCAAAGATAAAATGTGAAGGAAAGCTAAGATTAAGTTAGGATGAAGTTTTAAGTATCAAGTATAGAATTAATATTACTTGAATGTTTGCCACATAACCACATGTTAATTGAAAGTATTTTTATTCTTAAAATGGCTCATAAAAGAGTATTGGCCCTCAAATCATGAGTAGTTAATTTTTGAGGACATAGAATGGATTTTTGTATAGAAGTGAGGTGGTTTTTTCGTTTTGTTTTGTTTTGTTTTGTGTGTGTGTGTGTGTGTGTGTGTGTGTGTGTTTTGAGACGGAGTCTCGCTCTATTGCCCAAGCTGGAGAGCAATGGCACTATCTTGGCTCACTGCAACCTTCGCCTCCCAGGTTCAAGTGATTCTCCTGCCTCAGCCTCCTGAGTAGTTGGGATTATAGGCACACGCCACCACACCTAGCTAATTTTTGTATTTTTAGTAGAGACGGGGTTTCACCATGTTGGTCAGGCTAGTCTCGAACTCCTGACCTCATGATCTGCCTGCCTCAGTCTCCCAAAGTGCTGGGATTACAGGCATGAGCCACTGTGCCCAGCCTGTTTTGCTTTTTGGAGATGGAGTCTCACTCTGTCGCTCAGGCTGGAGTGCAGTGGCATGATCTCAGCTCCCTGCAACCTCCGCCTCCTGGATTCAAGTGATTCTCCTGCCTCAGCCTCCCAAGTAGCTGGGATTACAGGTGTGCACTACCACACCTGGTGAATTTTTGTATTTTTTGTAGAGATGGGGTTTCACCATGTTGGCCAGGCTGGTCTTGAACTCCTGACCACAAGTGATCTGTTTGCCTCGGCCTCCCAAAGTGCTGGACTTACAGGCATGAGCCACCCTGCACCTGGCCAGGAGTAACGTTGTAAAGGATTATTAAAGCCAGGCTTTAATATGCATATTAATCATCTGGGGATCTTGCTGAAATGTGGTTTCTGATTGAGTAGGTCTAGAGTAGGACCTGTGCATTTCTAATAAGTTCCCAAATGATGCCAGTGCTGCTGGTGTGAGGAGCACGCTTTGAGTAGCAAAGGTCTGCATATTATAGTGCAGGAGTTTTGTAAGTTAAATAAACTTTGTGGGCTAACCTGGTAACCTAAATCTTCATTTCGTTGTTTCTGGGTGGGATAGGAAGTCTGAATTCCAGCTAGAGAGGGTTTATAAAAGACCTCCAAATGCTGGTTCCAGTGACAGTAGACACTTTCTTTTACCCCTTCTAGAGCCAAAGCAGCTCCTGTCATGTTTCTGATAGGAGGAGCTGGATTCTGTCAGTGGGGATTAGAAGCTCCTGAGGTGACTGTGTTCATAAGGGCTTTAACAGTGGTGGTTGGAGGGCTTTGGTGAGGAAGGTCTGGGTAAGGTGGGCCATAGAGTAAGGGCCTTCTCTGTCAGCACTGGCTCATGGGGAATAAGGACAATATAGGTATTGAATCATAGAAGTAGTAGACAGAAGGAACTGGCAGAAGAGGAGCCAGAAAGGAATATTGCTAGTAGAGGGCAGCCATTGGTAGTGGTGTATATAAGTAAATACCAACTGCCTTAATTTTGAGTCATTGGGAGGCGTTTATATGTTTGTAGTTTTGAAGATTATTCATAACAGGCAACTCTTGGTTTAAAAAAGACAGCAGAGTCTAATGTTTTGCTTGCCTCTTTTTCTAATTAGTATATAGATCAAGCTAGAAGGGACTATCTAATATTTCTGTCTTCACTACCCTCTTTTAATTGGAAACATAAAATGATCTTTAATTCATACTGATTTTCCTATTTATTTATTTATTACTAATAGACATAGGCTAAAAATCAGTGACTTTTATTAGAGATTGTTTTTTCCCAAAAAGAAATGAAATAACTAGGACTGAAACAATGACATAAGTAGGAATAATGAAATGATTAGGAATGACATAAGCACATTTGTGGGGGAATTTTCAAATTAAACTTACGCTATATTTTTGGGGTGGCTATTTTTTACCCTACCTCTCATATTTCTTTCCAATCACCAACTATTCTTGAATCAGATATCTTAGGCCAAAAGTGGCCTGGGGAGGCTGACATATGGTTAGAAGGAGTGAAAAGATTCCCAGAATCTTTGCCAAGTGGTGCATATTTGAAGATTGTAATTATAGAAACTTCTGTTTCAAAGATAGCAGATCCTCTTTTGTAATCTGTCAAACCCCAGATCTGTCTTCGAAGATGTGTGGCATTTACTTAGAGACCAGCTCACTGGGAGTAGGCTCTTTGCTCATGTGATCTTTTGTGCAGCTCTGCAGATCTAAGAGACACAGAAAAGCTTTTCCCAGAATATGTGCTTAGACAAAGGGACTGTAAATTCTATTGTGTGCTCACTATTCACATTTATATAGAATAAGGGCTGTGAATACTAACTTGCTGGCACTTAGTAAGTCAAAATTGTATGAGACCGAGGCGGGCGGATCATGAGGTCAGGAGATTGAGACCATCCTGGCTAACATAGTGAAACCCCATCTCTACTAAAAATACAAAAAAAAAATTAGCTGGGCGTGGTGGTGGGCACCTGTAGTCCCAGCTACTCGGGAGATTGAGGCAGGAGAATGGCATGAACCCGGGAGGTGGAGGATGCAGTGAGCTGAAATCACGCCACTGCACTCCAGCCTGGGCGACAGAGCAAGACTCCATCTCAAAAAATAAAAATAAAAAAAATAATAATAATAAAATAAAATAAATCGTGTGAGAGATTTTTCAGTATTCAATTTGTACTTTTTTTTTCTCTCTCTCTCTCTCAAAGACTTTTCCAATAGCACAGTCTCTAGCACCAGGTAGCATGGAGGAACGGATTGCAGAATTGAATCGACAAAGTATGGAGGCTCGTGGAAAACTACTGCAGTTGATAGAGCAGCAGAAACTTGTTGGTTTGAATCTTTCTCCACCAATGTTACCTGTTCAGTTACCTCTCAGAGCATGGACTGGTTGGTCACAAATTCATGATTTAAAAACTAGAAATATGAAGGTTTTCACTTTTCTTGGTTTTGCAAGTTTATATTGAATCAAAAGAAATATCAAAGCATATATTTTGGTGCCTTCAATTTTACACAGAAAGAAACAGCCCTAACTCACAGGATAAGTGATAGAAATGGGATTAGAAGGCAGATCTCCTGATTCTTTCTATCCTATGATGCCTATAGTTAATCTTCGGTGTCTGAGTTCCTAAATTATCCTACATCTAAATGGGATTCATTATAGTGTACGGTTCACTTAGGTCATATGCTGCAACTAAGCATGAAATATCTGAATGTTAATTTAGAATTTCATCAGCAACAAATTACAACTTATTCTGTAAAACAGTTAAAGCATTTTCACTCATTAATTAAATTTTCTGTTACATTTAGGAATGTGAAAAGCTAGAGGGGATTCTGAATAATAAAATAGTAACTGAAAAAATTGTCATAGTATTCACATTCAAAAAGATACTGGTGAAACGAAGTATATATCAAGTTGTTTTTATCAGAAATTGCATTATTAAGGCCCTCAAGGGACAGAGCTACATGAAGAGTACAGAGAGATTGATTTTGGTCCAGTAAAAGAGAAGGCTGTAATTGTCAGGAATAGAAAAAGCTCCGTGTACTAGTAATTGATGTGTTCTCTGAGATGTTCAAACATTGGTGTTTGAGGGGGACTCAAATATGTCTTATTTCTGGTTGAAGTAGGTTACCTTTAAGGTATCTTCCAATAAGAGTTTTCCCCTCAGAAATTATTTCCTTTTTGAAATACAGACCCAGAAAGCAGACTCTTTTGGAAATTGCTGGAAAAAGATAGTAATGCATTTCCCCATGGCCCTCTCTCTTTGTTTATTCTAGGCTTCCTCAAATGACAGTTTTGTCTACTGTTCTTCATAGTTATGAAGCCTAAAGACAACTTCTGATTAGAATAAATAAATGAACTAACTATGTATGAACATGTACTATGTGCGTGCCATGTGTGGGCTTGAATACTCTAGCATTTGAGTAGGGGAGCAGGCAACAAACAAATCAATATTTGGGATAATATCAGTTAGTGCTAAGTGCAAGGAAGAAAAAGCAGATCAGCCTTAAGAATAATTTTGTGTTTAAATATACATCTTCCATTTCAGTATTTCTGTATGGTTAAAATATGCTTTTATTTATGTTATATAATTTAGTCCTCAACACACCTTTAGAGTAGATAGGGCTAATATTATACCTATTTGACAAATAAGTAAACTGGGAGGCACAAAGAGGTTATGTGATTTATCAAGTTACAAAGCAAGTTGTGGATTTGCAACTGTGTTCTTTCCTGTCCAGTGATTTATTTCTAAAGTATTCTTTTTATAAGTAAAATTCTTATATTTATTTAAAAAAAAAAAACTTCTGTGGACTATAATGATAAAAGTAAAAATAAACCATATGCCATGAAAAACCTCTTTTGTTTTCTAGGTAACTGAGGAATGTTTTGTAAAATTAAATAGGGTTTTATTACCTCGTAAAGCTAGGAAGTCACACAAAGCGAGGAGCCTCTGTGAAACTGCCTATGATGAACATAAAGTCTTTCATTAGTAAATACTTAGTAAATATATGCTGATTGATAACCTACTTCTGAAATATGGAAAATATTCATAATTATACTTGCTATTGGCCATATGGAGCTCTTCAGCCAGCTTTCCTCTCCTATTTCAATGTCTTCAGTAATAGTCATAATGTAATTGATTTAAAAGATTTAAAGTTTTGCTGAATGACTTCAGAAATTTTCTTTTTCCTTTTTTTGGGGAAAACTTTAGGTAAGCTCTCTTGGACAAAGATCTCAAGTTTTTAGGGCTAGCTCTTAATTTCTGTTTTTTACCTCCAGAGCTGACAGGATGCCACTTGTCCGAAGATTCTGGCTCTCTATGAACTGGCATGCTACTGAATTAACACTAGTAACTAAAGTTTCTTATCTCACAGTTCAGTAAAAAAAAAAAAAAAAATCAAGTGTATCTTGGGCTAAGATTAAAAAATACGGAAAGAACCACTAAATTTGTAATGTGCAATTTTTAGTAAGATAGAAATCGAGTGAAATTTTTATTTCATTGAAAGGTAATGAAACTGATACTTATTTTTATATTTTAGAAGGAGCAAAGAGAACAATTGAGGTATCTATTCCAGGAGCAGAAGCCTCAGAAAGCTCAAAATGTAGTACTGTCTCTCCTGTCAGTGGGATAAATACAAGAAGGTAAGTTGCAGAGTGAATATTTACTTTTAAAAAAAAAAAAAGGAAAAAAGAATTTGGTATGTATTTTATTCTCTTTGTGAAAAAAGGAAGTGTACAATATCTGACTTAGGTTGAGACAGACTCATGCAAAGAGTAAAGTAATTGGAAAAGAAGATTTTGAGGGGAAAGGGAGTGAGGAATAAACTTTAAGTTGAAAGGCATGGGTTTGCTACTGAAAACAAAAATGAGATAACACATATGTAGAGTATTTATGGGTTACAAAATTAGGAGGTGATGTATGACAGGACAGCTGAATTGACCAACAGTATTTTCCTCCTTCGCAGTAAATGAAACTGAAGCTCTCAGAGCTAATGGGGTGATTTGTCTAGATGGGTCATATGATTGGTAAATAGTGACACTAAGGACATACCTGGCCTTTCTCTCTCTACTCTGCATCCTTACTATTGTACTGTGCTGTTCCAGGTCTTGTTACTCTTCTACTACCTGGACCTTCTCCCCCATCCCTGCACGTTCATTATTGAAAACTTATCCATATAATATTGTAATGGCAGATACATGTCATTATACATTTGTGAAAACCCACAGAATGTATAACACAGAGAGTGAACCCTGATGTAAACTATGGACTTCAGTCAATTATAACATATAAATATTAGATCATCCATTGTAATAGATTTGTCATACTAATGCAAGATCTTAATAATAGGGGAAACTGTGTGTGTGTTGGAGGTGGGGGTTTAGGGGTATATGGGAACTCTGTACTTTCCACTCATCTTTCCAAAAACCTAAAACAGCTCTAAAAAGTAAATTGTATTTGTATTAGTCCGTTTTCATGTTGCTGATAAAAACATAACTGAGATTGGGAAGAAAAAGAGGTTTAATTGGACTTACAGTTTCACATGGCTGGAGAGGCTTCAAAATCATGGTGGGAGGCGAAGGACACTTCTAACATGGTGGCAGCAAGAGAAAATGAGGAAGAAGCAAAAGCAGAAACCCCTGATAAACCCATCAGATCTCATGAGACTTATTTACTATCATGAGAATAGCATGGGAAAGATCGGCCCCCATGATTCAGTTACCTCCCCATGAGTCCCTCCCACAACACGGGGGAATTCTGGGAGATACAATTCAAGTTGAGATTTTGGTGGGGACACAGCCAAAGCCTATCACTATTAATGAACAAATAAAGACTTACAGGTTGGTGAAAATAAGTTACAAATAATTTACCTCATTTGGACCTAAGTCAGCCATTTGTTTTCAAGCTCTTGGCAGTATTGAGAATTGTCAGTTGTTTGCATAGTCTTTTAAGGTTAATAATGATAGCTCACTATCTTACTCTGTTTTATTTTTCATAAATAGATCTTCCGGGGCTACTAGTAATTCTTGTTCTCCACTAAATGCCACCTCAGGAAGTGGGAGAGTCACACCTCTTAATCCAAGAGCAAAGGTACACATTAAAATGTAATTGTGAAATGTATATAGGGGTGAGGGTAGAAGGTGGCTGATTTAGTGATTTCCATTCTTAACTATCATTCCTGTTATCCTAAAGCTGATATGGTATTCTTAACAGAAAAGAGATACTAATTTACCTTCATCAGGAAAAACAAGCCATATACTTCTTCTGTTTTCTAGGGTAACTAAGGAATAAGGTAAAATTCAGTAGGATATTCAGCAGTCCTTAAAGGCTGGAAATTACTGGTTTCAGGTAGAGCTTCCCAAATATTATGGCAGGACACGCAGGTGTGCCTTGAATGGGTTGTAGATCTACTGAGCTATTGGTTCCCCCAGTCCTTTGTCCCTGGGTGGGGTCTGGGACAGCCAGAGCAGTGGGTCCAGTCACTTTTCCTCTCACTTTATCCCTGTGTGCTATATCTGACTGTGCCATTGGTTAGATAGGTTATGGTCCCAGGGAAAAATAAATGTCTTAATGTGCTCTTCATGTATTTTGTTGTGCCATAGGTATGTATAGAAGCTAAATATTTCACAGTATATTCAAAATTTTTGCAGAAGGCTTTTTTTCTGTGGTGCTAGTACAGTAAAATATAGTTCCTTTGAGTGGTTATAGTAAATTGTGAGGATATCTTTAAAATTATAAGAATTAATTTTGTAGACTTGAGCCAACAACTATCTGACATTGGGAAAACCTTTGCATTTCTTATTACTGAGTTCAGTAATTAGATCAAAGAGTGGGTGCTTATAGCCCAAATTAAATGATAGGGGAAAGATATTAAATGATAGGGGAATGATAGATACCCGAATTGTCCAATTCTGGGAGATTTGTTCTTTGCTACTTCTTATATTCTACAAAAGCTTTAAAGTAAGCTATTTTATATAAATTATTCTTAGTTCCTGGAATTTAGTAACATTTAATTTACTAAGAACAAATAACTGCCTTTTTATCATTTTAAAAATTTATGCCTATGATATCTATAAAACACTGGACTTAAAAAAATTATGACTCCTAAATCAGTAAGAGGATCTGTTGACCAAGTAATCAGTTATTTGATAGTATCTCTATTAGAGAATAAACATTGCCAATAGCAATTTAATTTCCAGTATCAATGGCACAGGATAACTTTGTTTTATGCACTTGGTCTAAATGATCTGTAAATCTTGAGTAGTCTCATGTTTCTGATTACCATCTAAATTTTCTCTGTGTCTTTGTTCAACAGATTGAGAAACAGAATGAAGAAGGCTGGTTTGCTCTTTCTACCCATGTATCATAAGTGAAGTCAAGTCTCACTGAGTTTGTTCTTAATAATTTATTACTCCCCTTTCCCTGCTCTGACTTTTAAGTTTTTATATCCTTCTTTCAGATAAAACCTACAAAGACCTTGTGAATTAGTACTAATGAAACAGAGAAATAAAGCAATTATTTTTTGATTTTCTCAAATAAGTTTTCAACAACCAACTGACCTACAGCTCCCTGTGAATGAAATTTTGACTGTAGAGAAGTTAAAGTTTTGTATTTTAATACTTTCTTAAATATTTTAAGGGTCTTTTTAAATACATTTTTACCTTTATCATCTTTATTCAGGGTTTTTTGAGGTTTAGTGTATCTTAGTTGATTCATTTTTTTTTTATTTTCCTGAAGAACTAATTTGCTTTGCATGTGACTTACAATAAAATTCCTCTGTGTGATTAGAGTCTGGCTTTCAGGAAAATGTAACACCCACTTTTCTTTCTTTTTTCTTGGGAAGTCATTGCTGTTTGTCACTTTTTCCATCAAGTGAAATATACAGCCTTAAAAAAATAGGCCTGGGAGTATTTGTTTATATTTGCTTAAGCAGGTAAGAGTGGTTGCATTTATTATAAAATCTTATGTAGTTTTTAAACTGTGAAAATGTCATCAATAATGGTAATGCAAATCAAATAAAAAATGATTCTAGAGCTCAAATACCTAAATGTGGTAACATTGATTTATTGGTATATTTAATGTTTCAAACAATTAAATAGAAAAAGTTGCAATCAATTTTCCTAGCCCTGAATTTAAGCAGATCTTTCAGGGTAGATTTCTCTTTTTTTTTTTCCTTTCCTTTCCTTTTTTTTTTTTTTTTTTGAGACAGAGTCTTGCTTTATTGCTTAGGCTGGAGTGGTGCAGTTGTGTAATCTGGTTCACTGCAACCTCAGTCTCCCAGGTTCAAGCAATCCTCTTGCCTCAGCCTCCTGAGTAGCTAGGATTATAGGTACACACCACCACGCCCAGCTAATTTGTGTATTTTCAGTAGAGACGGGGTTTCACCATGTTGGCCAGGCTGGTCTTGAACTCCTGACCTCAAATGATCCACCTGCCTTGGTTTCCCAAAGTGCTGGGATTACAGGTGTGAGCCACTGCACCTGGCTTAGGATAGATTTTTCCAGGATACCTATTTGGTTCTGAGATGTTGATTTCTATTTTAAACTTGTTTTGTGAATGATCTCTGCTCCTTGGCTCTATGATAGGAATTCTCAACCTGAGTGAGCAATTCAAACTGAGATTACTTGTGTTTAGACTCATATATTTGGATAACATATGACTTCTCCCGTATGCCCCAGAAAGCTGCTAATAACTTGCTCAACCTGAAATTTACAGTTTTCCAAATTACAGGTTGGCAGAGATACTGGATTGATAACATCCACAGTTATGATATAATCATTCTTATGCTGTAAACAAAATGATTTTGGTTAGCAGAATTTGATAACTGTTAACTACCTACTAGGCACTATTGTAGCCACTTTATGTGCTTCATGACATCTTAGGAGGTAGGTACTATTATCCTCATTTTGCAGATGAGGAAACTGAGGTACAAGGAGGTATTTTCTCAAGGTCACATAACTAGGGAGTGGTGGCACTAGAATGGGAACATAGGCAGTCTTTCTCCAAAGCCTATGTTGTGCTGCCTCTTGATGGAGAGTAAACCTGTTTTATAGTGTGTGTAGTATGGAAGCAGCATAATAATAAGAATAGCTGTTGATTATTGAGCCATTACCGTGGCAGACACTGTACTATAAGCTGCAATATCACCATTATCTCATTTGAATCTCGTAGTAGCCCTATGAATTAGAGGGATGTAAATGCTTCCTCCTCTCCCAGCACCTTTACAGATGAGGAAACTGAGCCCTAGAGGTGAAGAAAGTTGTCTAATGACAGAGTGCTTGTAAGAGGTAAAGCCAAGACTTGAAGCTCTTTCTTGCAGTTATTGGATTTCTCCTAATATACAGGAACTAATACAGTACAGTTGCTAAGGATGCAAGTACTGAAACCAGAAATCTTGCCTCAAATGCCATTTCTGCCACTTGAGCTGTGTACTTTGGACAGATTAATCTCATCTTTCCCATTTGAAAGTCAGACATAATGTCTTCCCTAGAGGCTGTAAGGATTAAGTGAGGCAAGTGTATGTAAATGGACTGAGCTCAGAGCTTGGCTCACAACACTCAGTAATGATCACTGCCCAATATTTTTTGTGTATAAATAAATAAATACACTATTCCCCCCATGTTTCCATTTTTT